ACCATCTCGCTGCTGTCCCAACTCGATTGCTGCCTTGAAAGGGGACCATCTCGTTGCTGTCCAGCTCGGAGAATGTCTGACGCTTCTTCAATCTGAAGTGGGCACGCGTGGTCGCGGATGGTCTCTATCAGATAGTCTATGCCATCGTGCTGCTTCAATCCCCTAAACCCTGTAAACCCTAAACCCCAAACCCCAAACCCCAAACCCTAAACCCTAAACCCTAAACCCTAAACCCTAAGCCCTAAACCCTAAACCCCAAACAAACTCGAGGCCCGCCAGAAACCTTAGCCCCGAGGAACCTAGAGGACCTTGGAGCCCTGTCATGCTTTCAGGGTTTTAGGCTTTAGGGTTTTCAGGGTTCAGGGTTCAGGGTTTAGGGTTTAGGGTTTAGGGTTTTCAGGGTTTAGGGTTTCGGGGTCTCTGGGTTCGGGTTTTCAGGTCTAGGGTGTTCAGGGCCTTTAGGTTTTCAGGGTCTGGGGGTTAGGGTGTTCAGGGTTTTGAGGGTTTTCAGCGTCGAGGGTGTTCAGGGATCAGGGTTTTTTGAGGTTTAGGGTTTTCAGGGTTCCGGGTTCCGGGTTTCCAGGGTTTCCAGGGTTCAGAGTTTTCAGGGTTTAGGGTTTTCAGGGTTTAGGGTGTTCAGGGTTTAGGGTTTGTCAGGGATCCTGCCACCAAAAGAAGCAAAAGAAGTGGAGCCGGACTAAACATCCCATCAAGCCCTATAAGCACTGAGCCCTACTAAACCCATATGACAACAGGTGAACGTCAAAAGGGGCCACCTGTTAAACCACCCTGGAGAAGAGCCTACTTGGTTGGGTTTAGGGTTTAGGGTTTAGGGTTTTAGGGCTTAGGGTTTAGGGTTGCAATGTTTGTCGGATTTAGGGGGCTTATGGCTAGGACTGCAAGAAGCCAGGGCTCCAGGCGCCTGCACTTGAAGGTTCATGGTACTTAGTAACCAAGTATAACTGTACTTATAACCAAATTACAACCAGATTAGGGCACTTAAGGGGCTTATAAGTGGGTTAAAAGTACAGTTGTCATTGGTTAATAAGTGCCCTGAACCCTAACCCCTAAACCCTAAACCCTAACCCCTAAACCCTAAACCCTAAACCCTAAACCCTAAACCCTGAAGCTTCAGGTACAGCTTTGCTGGCGCAGCAGCGCGCCTCGATCATGGACTTGACCATCTGACGAGTCGTGGATGTCGAGTACGACAAGTCGGGCCTGGGCCCCCGACAAAAAAAAACATCGCAAACTAAAGGGTGTTTAGGGTTTAGGGTTTAGGGTTTAGGGTTTAGGGACAAGCCCCAAGCCCTAAAACCCACGAAGAGCACGGCGGCGAAGCTAGGAGAAAGCAGGAAGGGAGGAGTCGTTTGAAGTAAACTCGAGGGGGGCGGGTACCCTGTTTGGGGGTCCCCGTAAGGGGATCCTACTATATTTGGGGTATAAAAAAGGTGTACCCCTATTTTGGTGAAGTGCCCATTTTGTGCATGATTTTCATGTTCACAGTCATGCTCACCTGCAGTAGGAACATCGCTGAGAGGCATGTGGCTCGACGTTTCCGCTCCGCTGCATTTTGGTTCACGAGAGATTCAATGCCGGCGCCCAAATGGAAGGCGGTAAAGTTGGAGGAGGTAATTGAAAGAAAAGCCGAACTGAACATGGAAGCACGGCCGGAAGGAGAAGCAGGTGAAAAGAAGGACGAGAAGAACGATGAAGATGGAAATCCTAAACCCTAAACTCTAATTCTAAACCCTAAACCCTAAACCCTAGACCCTAAACCCTAAACCTTAGAAGCCATGGAGTTTCCAGGCTAACCAAGAAGCGAGAAGACTCTATTGCCGAGCCTGGAATAACCAATCAAGCGTCTGAGGGCCTTTTGGTTTCGTAAGGAATACGTATGTACATATATACTTACTACACCTAAGAAACGAAAGATGGAGAGAGAGAGAGAGAGAGAGAACCTTCTGGAACATTCGAGGGTTGCACTACCCCAACAACCCTCAAGGTCACCTGCAAACAATAAATCCTAAACCCTAAACCCTAAACCCTAAACCCTAAACCCTAAACCCTAAACCCTAAACCCTAAACCCTAAACCCTAAACCCTAAACCCTAAACCCTAAACCCTAAACCCCAACCCTAAACCTTTGGGGTTTCGGGCGTTTGGGGTTCAGGGTAGCAACTGGCATTGCTGCTTCCGCAGCCGTCACCTCTTCAGCCCGGTTTCGTGACTCTGGCGCCCCTAAGCCCTAAACAGGGTTTAGGGTTTAGGGTTTAGGGTTTAGGGTTTAGGGTTTAGGGTTTAGGGTTTAGGGTTTGGGGTTTAGGGTTTAGGGTTTGGGGTTTAGGGTTTGGGGTTTAGGGTTTAGGGTTTAGGGTTTAGGGTTTGGGGTTTGGGGTTTAGGGTTTAGGGTTTAGGGTTTAGGGTTTGGGGTTTAGGGTTTAGGGTTTAGGGTTTAGGGTTTAGGGTTTAGGGTTTGGGGTTTAGGGTTGCCGAAGAGCACCCTGAACCTCCAAAGCCTAAACTCCGAACCCTACATGCCCAAAGCCGCCTGGCATCCAAATTCAGGGGGGCGAGGTTTCCTACATAAGCCCTTATGGACATTCTTGAGGTTACATCCTTCTATACAAACCCTAAACCCTAGACCCTAAACCCTAAACCCTAAACCCCTTATGTACCCCTTATATGCCCCTTCTATGCCCCTTATGTCGGGGAATATTCTTAGGGCAGTTACATGGTCCCTTAGTATGGGCCCTTAAAAGGGGACCACTTATCTACCCCTAGTATACCCCATGCAACCCACGGGCCCTTAATGAAACTGCCCTTTATGAGGCGCATGACTCCTTATTTCGCAACTCTGAACCCTAAACTCTACAGACCCAGCGAGGCTCCTTCCCGACTGAGTAAACCCTGTAGAGTTTAGGGTTTAGGGTTTAGGGCTTAGGGTTTAGGGTTTAGGGTTTAGGGTTTAGTGCTTAGGGTTAGGCCCCCCAACCCCAAAAAAAAAACGCCGTTGTGCCTATTGAGAACTGGTCTCCATCCGGGCCATGGGCGAGGAGTTGACTTCAATGAGCCACACCCCGAGATCCTTCCAAGGACCATGCGCAAGGTTTGGAGTTTAGGGTTTGGGGTTTGGGGTTTAGGGTTTGGGGTGTAGGGTTTAGGGTTTGGGGTTTGGGGTTTAGGGCTTAGGGATGTTTCGGGTTGGGTTTAGGGTTTGGTGTGGGTGCAGGAGTTTAGGGCTTGAGGTTTCGGGCTCTGGGGCCAATGCACAAATCAATGAGTTCGTTTTAGTTCAAGTACTCTTTAGGGTAAGGGTTTAGGGTAAAAAGGGCCCATAGTACTAGTGTATGGACAACCGTTGTGGCTGCATGAGGTTTGAAAGGCGAGTCTGACACTTCAACCATACACTTGAACCCTAAAACGTCGAAACAAGAGGTACCCTGGAAACAAGGGTAGGGTTAGGGTTTAGGGTTTAGGGTTGAGGGTTGAGGGTTTAAGGTCTAGGGTCTCTGGGGTCTAGGGCTTAGGGTTTAGGGCTTAGGGTTTAGTGTTTAGGGCTGGGGTTTAGGGTTTGTGGCTTAGGGTTCAGAATTCAGGGTGTCCCTACGTCTTGAATTTTCCAACGAGAAGGTTGCCTAATCGAAGCCTGGGATTGTTCGGGGCACGTCGAAGTCCGTTTGAGGCCCCTCGAAGGCGAGAAGACGGAAAGCCTGAACACCCTAAACCCTAAACCCTAAACCCTACGGTATCTCTAAACCCTAAACCCTGGCGACCCCAAGTCCAATTATTTAGGGCTTGGGTTTAGGGTTTAGGGCGTATGATCCGTGTTCACACTGATCAACGCCCGATAAACCCCTAAGCCTCTAAACCCCTACTGAATCCCAAAGACCCTAAGCCCCTAAATCCCCAAGCCGTTAGACCCTACACCCTAAATCCCTGAATCCTTAAACCCTAAACCCGAAACCTAAACCCTAGTTAAACCCTTTTATCTCGAACTGCCCGAAGCCCTGGCTTTTTGTGGCGTCTGCCTGCAAAGATGCCCATTAACGCCTACCTCTTGTGGAGGCAAGGGCCCCAGCGGCCGAGCATGGGCAGTGGGGCCGTAACCCTAAACCCTAAACCCTAAATAGGGCTTTTGGGTTTCGTGGCTTGGGGGTTTGTGGTGTTGAGGGGTTTGGGTGTGGTTTAGGGCCTAGGGTGTAGGGGTTAGGGTTAGTGTTAAAGGATGTAAGGCTCAGGGCTTCAGGGTTTTGAACTTAAGGTTTACGAAGGGCTATTCGGCTTTATGTGTACTTTAGGGTGGTTATACGGGGAGAATACTACCCTCCCCCCCTCCCCCCCCAAAAGAAACCAAATAAGTAAACACATATATAAATAAACAAAGAAACACAAGAAAGAAATCAATGACATATATATATATATATGTATATACATGGTACCCCCCCCATGTACCTCTCATCTCTCTCACATACACACACTTGCAAGAGGCAGCCAAAAAAAATGCGGCCAGGTGACCTGAGATATCAGACTTTGGTTGCTCTTTCACAGCGCTACGTTACAGTTCTGTTTGTGAAATCATTTCCATCAGAGACTCAAGCCACGTAAGATACCGCAGTAATTGTTTTCCTCCTTCGAGCGCGGGTGTGTGTGTGTGTGTAATCCTGGTATCTGCAGCATCGCTGCGTACGCGAGTACTGCGAGATGCATACGATCAATAAAGGGCACTGAATGTAAGCGAGAACGGGAGTGTTCATAAAAAAACGATTTGCTTGTGCCATTAGGGCTTGCTGATGATGTCCTGCGTGCACTGACCCACCAGCTTGCCCGCGCACATCCAAAGGTCATCTTTCCGACGCCAGTATTCAGACTGCGCACTGCGGATTTTTGCAGCGAGCATAAGGGAAGATGACTTGACACGCTGGTTCTTGGACAGCCTTGATGAATTTCCATACCATGCCCACAATTCGCGTTCCTGTTTTGCAAAGAATCTTGCGACCGTCAGGAAGCTTGTGCTTCGAAACGCGAACGAAGGTAGGCTTCAGCCACAGCCACTTGCCCTTTCGTCTTGACTCTTCGCTTCTTGTGGGCCACCGCATCGCGCAGGACTCCGGGCAGCTTCACGCGGTATGAACGGGCGGAATCTGCGTGAAGGATCACGTTGCGGTTCACAAGGAACTTCTGAGCGCATGCCTTCCAGTAAACCTTCCGGATGGCTCCTGGCCCGGGTGCCCTGAGAACCGTCATGGCAGGGTTGAGCTTGGTGAGGACTAGAGTTTGTGGGCATCCTCGTTGAACGATGACCCCCCACTGTTCCCAAATCACTGTCTTACCGTCTTCCGAATGATGTTCTTGTGGGGTGAGAGCGCCTTGTCAAAGAATGCCTCGTCCGCTTCCACTTCCTTCCAGGCACGGGGAAATCCTCCGGACTTGATTTTTTCTCGTTCTCTTGCGCATAGCCCTCTCGGGCGACGATCAAGTTTCTGCTCATTCTCTCCAATGCCTTGTGATTGATGTGTGTGAGGACATGGACGCTTGACGTTCAGCATGGTAGCAAGGCAGCCGCCTGCATCTGTAGCGTGTGGCCTTCCGGACCCCTTGTTGAGGGGAAGATGGGACGCAGATGCTGAGAGATGAAGTATCGCTGGCGGCCTTTGCCGTTGCAACGATGCCTGAGTATCTGGCCCCGGCCATTGGTTGTCAGTGCACTGAGTTTGCCGCGTCCGCAATGAGAGCATGACGCTCCTTTCCAATCACGTAGACAACCGTCCTCAGTGAGAATGCCACCGATTTCCCTCTCATCTGCAGACAAGAGTTCTGGGATGGTGCGTTTCCACTTGTCTTGCTCCACTCGTACGAAGGCACCCTTGTTCTTGTCTTTGACATAGGAAATTTTGAGCCAGGACGAAGATTCCTTGGCGCTGGGCTTGTCTGAATCATGCGTTGCGCGCCTTTCTTGCAGTCTGGAGTGAACTTCTGGTTCTTCTGCGTGGGTACGACGCGAAGCGGCTTTTCAAAAATTCGTATCTACACCAAAACTGTTGAGATAAAAATTTGCGAAGGCACATAGAAACATGCGCGAGCACCTATCCCGAATGACCATGCGAAACATGAGACGAGCAAGTGCGTCGGCAGAGCAGACGCATATCCTGCAAGTTGGGCAGACATGTCGAAATGCTGCGCACTGCTTACTCATTTATATCCCTTAATATAAGCGTTAAGAAAAGTGAGACGCAAATACGAAGCCAGAAGTTAGACCTTGCAACTCTTAAATCTTTAGCACTTATCTGCTAACCTTGACACCACATATTGTGTGTGTGTGTATGTGCATGTGTTTCAGCAACTTGCGCACGGCGGTGTGTCTACTTCCTGGCATTTGCTTGTATGCTCTCGGCAGATGATGGCGTTCACGCGGCAAGGTCAGCTTCATCAGGCCCCAATTTGTCCAGCTCGGCCTCAAGCTCGTCAGACAGATCATCCACAGGGTCATGGACTTCGTCTGCAAAGTCCATGGGACAGTTCACGGGCTCGGCTTGAGGACTTTCGGCGCGATCGTCAGCGCAAGGCCCTGCATGATTCACGCTCTCGGTCTTCGCTTCAAGCAAGGGGTTCGCGCGGGCAGACTTCTTGACTTGAGCGGCGAGCAAAGATCAATGACCTCACCGGAAAAGGTTGACAAGCAACGATGAAAGCGAGGCTGTTCTTGCTTGATGTGGACCCTCGGCATGAACAATCTAGTTTGAGACCTAATAATATAACAACCGCGAGTATACATGTGTCATACTTAGTGAAACTAGCTTCAGCCATAGGTTCTGTGTTTCGGAAATACCTTTGGCGCATCGGGCGCGGCAGATGGAGGTGGTGTCGCGGGTGCTGCTGATGGCGCTGCACCCTCGCCGTCAAGAACGGGCTCCGAGAACCTCCAGCGAGGATAGCATCCAACTAGGCAGCCTCCCACTTGACATCTTCCTCAAAGTCTGCTTGCTTTGTAGCGATCGCGTCGCGATCCTGCGTGTACCGCTTTGCAGCTGCAGGCTTCAAGAAGTTCACAGCAGCTTCCATGATGAGGCAAGGGATGCTGACTTCATTTTCGGTTGCTTTGCGGAACATCAAGATTTTGCCGGCATTGACGATGACATTTGCTCGCTTCAACACGGCCAGAAAGTGTGGGTCCTCTGTGTTGCTGGGGAACATGGGCGTGATGACCTTCAGGAAGTCCCCATGCGACATGCGAATCGTGACGCCAGGACGAATGTGCTGATTTTCCTTGAGAAGTCCTGTGAGCACGTACTCATTGCAAACGAAAACTCGGAGCTGACCATTCACAAACTTTGCGGCTCCCCACCGCTCTTTTGTGAGCATGGTACAGCCCGCGTCGGTGAAGCCCTTCAACTGTCGGACGGGTTCATCGGCCAGGCATCCATCATCGTAGATGTCTGGGCCGTCTTTTCGCCCTGGCTGGCCTCTAAAGAAGTCAAACTCACTGGATTCAAGACAGGATACCGGTGTTGTGATTGAGCTGAAAAACATTGGTAAAGCCAATGGTTTCCATGAATGTCGTGATCCCAGCCACATGGTTTGAAAAGCATGATTTTTTTTGGAAACAGTGGTTTTACTAATGTTTTTTGAAGGATGGAGCTGAAAAAACACTGGCAAAACCAATAAAACCCGAATTCATGGACACTATCGGTTTTCTTTCCTCGCAATTCGCGTGACCAGAATACCGAAACTCGAAACGGTCCAGAGAAAGAACAACCAAATGATGCCAAGGTTGCATCGTCGTGCAGCCGGGGACCTCGCAAATGCAAAAGTGGTAGGTACATGGAGGGGGCACCATATACATATATATATATGTAGGAATATGTATATAGTATACAAAAATAAAATACAAAACGAGACAGAGAAGCGTTGATTGTGTGCTGGTTGAGAGCTTTGGGGCTCAGGGTTGGGCGTGCTGTTGCTGCTTTGTTTGCGGCTCAGGGTTTAGGGTTTAGGGTTTAGGGTTTAGGGTTTAGGGTTTAGGGTTTAGGGTTTAGTGTTTAGGGTTTAGGGTTTAGTCGCGCTGTACCTTTTGATACTTAGGGTTTAGGGTTTAATAAAGCCCTACATTCCTCTATCCTTATTCCGAGGGTAGTTAGATGGCCCCTCAAACATGGTCCCTTACCTCCTTAAAAAAGGGTTCTGGGGCATGGGACCTCGGGCTGTATTTAGGGTTTGGGGTTTGGGGTTTCGGGTTGGTATATAAGAGGTCCTCATTTAAGAGCCTATACTGAGGGATCATGTAGCTACCCGAAGATATTTTTCAAGACCAACATGGCTGGCTAAGAGTTCATGACCTGGAGATTTACATCGGAGCGAGGGTTTATAGTAAAAGTGGGTGCTTTGGCTAACTCACTGCGAAAGGAATGAATACATGATTGTAAGGGCAGTGCATTTTGCTGCGTCTTTGTCCGCACGGCGGTAATACTAGATTTACAAGCGGTTTAGGGTTTAGGGTTTAGGGTTTAGGGTTTAGGGTTTAGGGTTTAGGGTTTAGGGTTTAGGGTTTAGGGTTTAGGGTCTTCATTTCCAATATCCTTGACTTTTCTCTGCTTTTATAATCGGTTTCACGCATACACGAAATGGACTCACTTTCATGGTGCATGCGTACAGCATTATTATTACCGTACACTCATACGTTCATTCACTTCTTAATCTAGACACAGGAGTAACATAGGTATAAAGGAGGTGCCCTTTTATTTTGAAAGGGGATTATAAGGGACCCTAATCCCTGAACAAAGGGAATAAGAGCCTACTCGGTGTCCCACTCATTCACTGCATTCACTCACGTGTTGTCTATTTATTACTATCCCTATCGACTCCAATAAGCTTGTGTAGCATGGCTTTAACCAAACACCCCTAAACTGGAGTCCTTAGAGCCGTGGACTCAGAAAACCCTGAACCCTGAACCCTGAACCCTAAACCCTAACCCCTAGCCCTAAACCCTAAACCCTAAACCCTAGCCCTAAACCCTAAACCCTAAACCTCCTAAGCATGTCTATGCCGTGGCAGCTGGCAGAGGGGCCCTGCATCTGGCGGCAGCATCTTGGACGAGGCCCAGGCCAGTGGGATCCATTCTAGGACTTTAGAGTTTAGGGCCTAGGACTTCTTTAGGGTTTAGGGCCGAGGGGTTTACGGGTTTGGTTCTAGGACTTTAGGGTTTAGGGGGTTTAGGGGGGTTTAGGGGGGTTTAGGGGGGTTTAGGGGGTTTAGGGGGTTTAGGGGGTTTAGGGGGTTTAGGGGGTTTAGGGGGTTTAGGGGGTTTAGGCGGGTTTAGGGGGTAAGGGGGTCTAGGGGGTTTAGGGGGTTTAGGGGGTTTAGGGGTTTTGGATGTAGGGGTTCAGGGTTTAGAGTTTAGGGTTTAGGGGTTTAGGGTTTAGGGGACCCAGAAGCCAAGAACATACCCATCAGGCGACCCGAGTTTGGAACGCCCACTTGTGGCCATCAACATGCGAAGTGGCCCGTGGGCGGCTCCCTCAGCCTTACACCCTAGCGGTCGCTTTGCATGCACCGTTCAGGCTTTCAAAGTTTGGGGTTTTCCCTCTTTGGAGGGAGGGGGGTTGTATGTGCTGGCTACAAACTCCTAGTACCCCCCCCCCAAAAGAAAAGGACAGTATTATGACAAGATCTTATCATCACCATATGTGTATCAAGTGTGTATGCACATATTCATATACGCATAATACGCATACATCCATATACATACGCATACGTACGTATCTACATGCACATGCATATAAGTTGAATAATGCGCCCTATATATGCTCACCAAGAAAAGGAGTATATACCCTGCCTCAAGACATATCGATCTGTTTCCACTTTACTGTACAAGTCATGTTGCTCGAGTTGGCTACCCAAAACCCTGAGCCCTACCCCCTAAACCTAAACCCTAAACCCTAACCCTTAACCCTAAACCCTAAACCCTACAGTTTCGGCGAAGCCTCGACCCTACTGCCGCCGTGCGTCCAAGAGCTCGCAGTGTGCAGCTGGACGGAATGTCTTGGTGAAACGAGCCTATAGGCCTAGTGCGACAGGTCAGTGTCGATCAGGGACGAAGATAGCCACTTCTTCCGAGTGGGAATTTGAGGGTTTTGGGTTATAGAGTTTAAGTAATCCCCCCGCGCAGTCCAGGGCTTAGGGCATAGATGGTCACTTCTCGAAATTGTGGTCCCTTGTCCTGGGGTTTCTATTATGAGGCGGCACCTACTATTTTGGGTACCCAAAAAGGGACCATCATTTTGAAAAACGTGACAATGTGCATATCAACAGTATTCTGAAATACCCCAAGGAGGTTAAAGATTACCTACTCTACTACGAAAAAGGATTGGGGTTTGGGGGTTGGAGCTTGGGGGCTTAGGGCTTCAGGTCTAGGGGGAGAGGGGGTCTGAAGGCGCACCAACCTCGACAAAAGCCACATCACGCATGCTACTTATCAGATTTAATGCGAGCTTCGCCTGCATGACAAGCAGAAGGCCCAAACCCTAAACCCGAAACCCTAAACCCTGAACCCTGAACCCTAAACCCCAAACCCCAAACCCCAAACCCTAAACCCTAAACCCTAAACCCTAACCCCTAACCCCTAAACCCTAAACCCTAAACCCTAAACCCTAAACCCTAAACCCTAAACCCTAAACCCTAAACCCTAAACCCTAAACCCTAAACCCTAAACCCTAAACCCTAAACCCTAAACCCTAAACCCGAACCCTAAACCCTACAGTCCGTAGGTCTTGGGAATAAGAGTCCATGGTACCACAAAAGGCTGGTGATCGCAAAATCTTCGGACTTCGGGTGTAACCCTAAACCCGAAACCCCAAACCCTCAACCCTAAACCCTAAACCCCAAACCCTCAACCCAAGATCCTGAGGGAAGGGGTCTCAGGAAAAGGTACTTCGGGAATCTCGGGCTTCCTGGGGCTCAAGGAAGCATTTCGGAAAACTCGATATTACTGCTCTGCCTCACCCCCTTGGAAGCCCTGTACACAAAAACACTGGGTTTAGGGTTTAGGGTTTAGGGTTTAGGGTTTAGGGTTTAGGGTTTAGGGTAGCCAGAACCCGAATCTAGCGAATCATCCCCGGCTGCGCTCGCACGAAGTCTCGTGTGACAGGCGTTTTCCTGAGAGGATGGTCACACCCCGAAGATCCAGGCGCAATGGTGTGCGGTCTATGATTTAGGGTTTAGGGTTTAGAGTTTTGGGGTTTAGGGTTTAGGGGTTTAGGGTTTAGGGTTTAGAGTTTTGGGAATTAGGGTGCAGCGTTCCAGTTCGGAACTGACAGTTCAGGGCAATCATACAGACACGAAGACCCGAAAGGCCCACATGACATAGGGCCCTGAAGTAGCACTAAATTCCAGACCCTAAGCCCTAAACGCTAACCCCTAAATCCCAAGCCCTGAAGTCCCCAAATCCTATAATTAGACCCTAGACCCTCGACCCTAAACCCTAGCCCTAAACCCTAAACCCTCAACCCTAAACCCT